AGTGTGCGTGATTAAAAAAACCTAGAGGAGATGATTTATCACTATATATCCTTTATTCTTTATTGATTTTTATTCATATATGATTACATGATTTACATCTGATTCTGATTCGAAGGTGATATCTCTTTGCTTTATCTTTGTCGTCCTTCGTCCATCGTACTTGTTATGTCAGTTTTTTCTACTTGCTGGAGGCATTGTGTGCTATATGTTATGGAAATGTTATCTTCTGTTTTATGGGGTTATTAGTGCTTCTCCATTTGTTCTGCTTGCTGGAGCCGTTGTGTGCTATATGCCTATATGTTATGGAAAATTGGCAATGTTTTCTTATGTTTTTCCATTTTCTGGAGTAGTTGTGTGCTATATGCAGCAATTTTAACTTCTAAGTTGATGATCTCTGAGTTGGTTTTTGCTCTTATGGGATTTCGTGTTCCTCTGTTCAGTTTATTGCATTCATTAGGGTGCATTTGCAAAAGTTATTGTGATATTGTGTATTTCTATTTTCTATCTAATTGACTAATTCATCTTCTTGATGAATTTACAATAACTTTAATAAATGTTGAACTCATCCTTCTCTTTCTTTGATGGAGGATTCTAACACAATTGTAATACGTATTTTCTTTGTATTTATGACTGATCCAGAACTTGAGAGTATAATTGAGGGCATAATCATGAACTTAAATATGGAAGAAATTGGTAGCAAAGACGACAATGATTCAGTTAAAAGAGTACCCTAGTTTATTCTGTTGGGAAAGAAGTTCTAACTTCTAAGAACTACATACTTTAAGCCTTTAATATTTATATGTATTTTCTTTGAACCCACGTTCTGTCTTGTTAGTGGCTTTTTGTTTCAGATTTCAAAACACCTGCTTTCAGCCTTTAATATTTATGTTTTATGTTGTAGGTGTCTCTTTTGCGGTTTTGCATGTTGGAGGCTTGAGCTGGACCGAAGCATATATGTTGCATTCATTATATGTATATATCATTATATGTTTTATTCTTTCTGAATTAACCTGTTGTTGGTGTCTCACTGTTTCTTTTGCGGTTTTGTCTGCTGGAGGTTGGAGCTGGACGAAAGATTATATATTGGCATTCATTATATGTTTATATAATTTATGTTGTTCTGAATTAACCTGTTGTTGGTGTCTATTTTGCATGTTGAACCTGTATGGTTGTATTCATTAGACAGAAGATTTTTCTTGTTGAATCAGTGAATTTGAACTTCTAATGCTTGATCAATTCATTTGCTTGATGAATAATGAATTAAGGTAAAGTGTATATCTATGAAAGCTCAAGCAATGACGAAAAACCTTGTCAACCAAAAGTGAGAGTTGTCGTCCATTGGGCGCGCCAAGGTAAATACTATTCACTATTGCAACCAGATGACATTTCTAAGATACTAAATTCAATTAAATGCAAAATGTCGCCTTGGATGGTATTAGAGAATTTGAAAAATCAAATATACATTATTCACTCACTTTATAGTTGCTAAATAAGTTGAAGGGTTTACCTGAGCTATTTGTTAAAGCTTTGTGTTATACTATCTCATATTCTCTTTGTTTAGCATTTTATGATTTTTATTTATTTAGGATTTTTAATTTTTAAGTGTTCAAGTTTTAACCATCTTTCTTTTGTAGTTAATTAAAATTGAAGTGTCAGAGGTATAATACTTTAATGATATCTTCATGTTGGAGTGTAGGTGTGCTCGAGTCTACTAGATGTAATTTGAATTTATTTGTAAATTGCAATCATATAATGTATTAAAACATTATTTATTATGTTATTTTGTAAAAAATGTATTAATGTAACATTGTAATTTCAATTTGTCAAGCCATTTACGCAATAGTTTCAAGTTTTTAGTATACATTACCTACTTACCTTGCAATATTTCATGTATTTTAATTGCAAAATAATTTTTTAAATCTCATATTTCAATGTATCTATTTACTTTCGGGTTGGGATGACCCAAACCCGAACCGGGTCGAGTTCGGGTCAAGAAAAATGACCCGAAACCTGAATCAGGTCGTGTTAAGGGTCGGGTAAAAAATGGGCTGGTCAAATTCGGCTTTGACCTGAACACGACCAAATGACCCGAATTGACACCCATAGTCGGATGATAACCCTTTTTGACTATACTAAAGTTTTTTTCTTATGCACTTAGGTGTTGTGATTAGTTGTTCTTATACTATAGTTCACCATTTTGTAATAGATTCATTTTGGTGTTGGCATACAGCTTTTTGTGACTAATTAAAGTTTCGTTTGGGACGACTTTTTATTGTTTTTTAAAATAACTTTTTAGTATAAAAATTAAAATTTTTTATAATAGAAAGATGCTTTAAAAACAGGAAGAAAAAAAAAAAACAATCCCAAACAAAACCTAAGTCTCATGATTAGCGCATAACTAGCATAGCTACTTTTTTGTGCTAGAATAAATATATATATTCATTTGTACTTTTACAAGGGTCATAGATCAAAATATAAAAAATGTTAGCCCATGCATTGTTGCTATAAAATAAATAATGAATGTAATTTTATATAATCTCTTTTACACTAGGTATACTTGTTGGCCTCATTTTTTAATGAGATTGGCTCTCTCTCCTAGGGCACACTCTTAACACTCAATTTTTTGTGATGCCTCTAGAATCTAATGGAAGCATTGAATATCTAATCCTGAACTCTAACTCAAGTTCTATGCGGAGATAAACTAGAGCTACTAAAAGTTGAAAATAATAATAATAATAATAATTCATGTGGTATTTTAGATATTTAATTATACGATTCCTATAAAATGTAAAGAACAATGGTTTGCCATTTGACACTTGCCAGGATAATATTTTATTCCTACTCCTACTATAGAAAAATAGATCAACAATTAAGCACAAACTAATAACAATTGATGCAAAACAGGTTATTCGGTCAAGTCTAAGTCAATTTGAGCGAGTTATTGGGTCAATTCAGGTCAGGTTATCGAGATGGGCCAGCATTAAACCACCCAATCAGAACTTGACTCATTTAGTAAACGAGTGAAAACCCTGAACCCGCACCTAACCTACCCTAAACTTGGAAGACCCCACCCCATTACCCATTACATTAAAAAAAAATTATATAGCTAGCTGAGACGATCAATGAGCAAAATAATTTAAACGAAATTACAGCTTTCAAACCTATTTATTTGGACTTTTTTCACTATATTACAATTAATATATAATTATTCTAAACTTTAATTATCATACAACATTCCTATATGCATATCTAATTTTCCAATTCACAATTTGCAGGTCAAAATCAGGTCATTCTCGAGTTGGCAGATCAACCCGATAATTAAATGGATCAGAAAACATAACCCGAACTCGATCCGTTTATCAAATAAGTCAATCCGAACCTGAATTTTTTGGGCCAATACAGGTCAAGTTATCGAATTTTGTCATTCATTGACACCCCTCATGCAGCATAAAATAATTTTATAACAAGCTGTCGACCTAACAACAAACTCCCTATATTAAGCGACTAAAGGGTTTATGACTTAACACAACACCAAAGTGTGTATAAAAATCTTGATGAAGGCATCAACTCATATAAATGTGTCAACAAAACTAAAACCTATCATCCTAATTCAATTAATTTTAAAACATTATTTTAAAAAATATTAAGGTGAAATGTTAAAACAAAGATAATATTTTATATATAACAATTATATTCTTAATAATGGTGTTATTCTTAGTCCAAAGAAAATTATATTATTCAAAAAAGAAGAAACAAATTGTTGAAAAAAAAGAGCAAATGTTCAAGCTGAATTATAACAGCACATACATCAAAGGATAAGGTATTTTTATGAAGAATTCAAAAGTGTGAAGCAACTTCAGAGTTTCTTAAGATTATTAAATTAAGAAAAGCTAAAGGAAATGCAAAATAAGCAAATCTTGAAGAACAAACTCAAAAGATGAAACACTAAAACATAGATAAGCCTTTCAAATATTGAAAAAAGAGAAATTTTTGAATAAAAAAATACTTTATTTCCCTAAAATTTAAGTACTATAAACGGATATTTCCACAAAAAAATTCGTCAGGAGCACTGTTTGCCTAAAAAAAATAAGAAAATGAAATCATTGCTTATATTGTAATAGATTTACCATAATAGAAACTAAATATTATGCATATTATAAGGAATTACCTGCAATACATAATGGTATCAAAAGCCTTTTATAATTGAGAAAAATAAAAGCAGGCACATAGTTTCTTGAGTCAAGAAACTATTCATGATTCATAAGAGAATTTTCAAAGAACAAGAACTACGTATATTGAATTTTTTCAAAACAAAATCAGCTTTATTATAATTTAATTACTGATTTATTGTCATGTCCTGATGAATAAAAAAGAGAGCTCTTAAAAGAAATTCAAAAAAAAAAAACTAGCTAAAGAATTTTTCTCCGAACAATGAGCAACCAACTCGATCTAGAATGATAAACATCCAAAAGAGAAAACAGGCAGATGAATCCTCCACTTCAAAGATCAAAATAGCAACCATCTCAAGGTCAAAAGCAGCTCAAATATCAACTACTGTTAAAGAGGAGATCCAACAAAAGGAACAAGAAGCAAAAACTACTAAAATATACATGGCATAATAAAAAACATCTTCGAACTTGGAAAGCTATTTTAATCTGCCATCCGATAAACCAAACAAACAACAGCTTAAGAAACTTACAATCATAGCAGATCCTTAATAGACTCTGCCATTAGAATTGCTGAAAACCTGCAAAACTTTTTGTCATAACAGAGGAAAAATTGCATATCAAACTACAAGCCCTCGCTGACTAACTCCCCCTCCTCTCCTAATAAGGAGGTTATTTATAAACAATCCTAGATCCCTAAACACTATGATGGACCGGTCCGGTCCATAGCAGCACCGGCCCAAAAAAGGGCCGGTTCTCACTTACTGCAGGCGGAGAACCCGCCTGCCTGGGCGGACTGCCGAAGGGGAACCAGGAGTCGGGTGGGCCCAAGGGGTTCCCCTCAAACTTCTCCGAGACCACCTCCACATCGAAGCTCGCTCCACATCTAAAAAAAAATTCAGAATTGAAAGATTTATAAATTCAGAAGAAAAGTTTCGATTCAGGAAAAAAGGAAGGTGGAAACTACAAGAAGAAGTATATTTACCCCCCGGATGTATCGATCACTTGCTGAAATGAAAGAAAACCGGAAGAGAAAAAAAAAGGAACAAGGTCAGGGATTTCAGCGGCGAAATTAAAACTGAAAGTGAAACAATGTGTAATTGATCATTAATCTTACAAGATGAGAAGGGCTGAGAGAGGAAGTGAGGGCGGCTACAACCTCTTCTTTCGTCACAACCATCTCTCTCTCTCTCTCTCTCTCTCTCTCTCTGTGCGCCCGCTTAAGAAGAACGCAGAAGCCAAATGAGACAAGCCCTGCGGTATTTCCGAATCCCGTAATTTGGGTATGCCAAGAGGCTTTTCTTTTTTTGGGATTTTTAATTACCTAACATTTAAAATAAGTCTATTTACATATCTAACGCCTAGATTTTTTTATTTACATATACACCACTTAAAAATCATAACCTTCATCAAAACTACCACTCCGTTCCACTCCCATCAAAAGAAACCGCGAAACTGCGCGGGAAGCCCTGTCTCGAGCAGAGCACCTTCCTCTCTCGGTTTGAATCGCACAGTTTGCGAATCTATCTGCTCCTTTTGCGAATCCAACTGCACTGCGGCATTTTTTGCAAGTGGCAACACAGGCGATCTCATTAGGTATTTCCCTTCTCCATTTTACTTGCGGAGCCTGAGAAGATGTAACACAAAAACTCCTTTTTTGTGGAAACAATTGCTCTTACTTAATCTAAGGTTTTGTTGATCTTTATCAGGAACACTAACTTGAAGGAGTAATAACGGAAGATAACTTGAAGGAGTAATAACGGAAGCTTTCAAGGCAAGGCAAGGAGGTTGTTAGCCAGTGGGTTATCTACCGCAGTTCATCTCAGGTAAGTTTGGAGGTATTCATTTGATTGTGTACTGTAGTTATCTGCATTAAGTAGTTATACATTAAGCTATTCCTGATTGATGTAATTTTTTCTTTACCTACAGATATGGAGTGCAACAATGTGTGCTTTATTGTCTTGAAATATGGAGGATATTGGACTGAGGTAAAGGGTCAAAGCATGATGAAATATGTCGGTGGCAGTTAGAAAACTTTGAAGTTTGATAGATGTCACATTAATTTGTTATTATTGAAAGAACGTGCCAAAGCAATTTGCCAGTGGATCAGGGGTCATGCCTACGACCTACATTATCATATTAATGGAACGTCGTCTAAGATTTACATGCCAATTACGAGTGATACAGATGTGACAAACATGTTTATAGGTTCCTGCGATGGCAATAGAGCGGAGGTGTTGGTTGTAGTGAAAGATCATCAAGAAGATATGACTTATACGGATGAAACTCAATGTGGTGATATGCAAGATTTAAATGCTAAGAACACATTGAACAATGACATATTAGTAGATGATTTGTGTGATGGTTCATTTGCAGTTAAAGTTGAGGTCACCATAGAAACACATGCAAGGAACCTTTATGTTTTGAGGAAGGCAATATTCAAGACACAGTTTCAGAGAAAATGCCTATTAGGCGTGGAGAAAGTTTCTTAGAACAGTTTCTGTTAACTGTCACTTTGAACAAACTCATTTAATTATTTATGTTAACAATTTTTGCTATCACTTTCAAGTTACTTTGTAGTGATCATTTATCTGTTTTTGTTATAACTTTCAAGTCACTGCTCCAAACAACTATCGATTTTTAGCCAATAGCTTTTTTGCTATGATATTCTTGCTAACAAATTTTTGCTATCAATCTATTCTTGTCAGATTTTTGTTATAATTTTTGCCAACAGCTGTCACTTTAAAGTTAGTAGTAATGCAGTAACGGCTCCAAACAACTTGTACACGGATCAAACAGAACTTGTACATAAGTTTTTTGCATTCAATAAACGTTTTTACATTCATCACAACTTGTTAAATGGATCAAACAGAACTTGTACACGAAGCCCACCTGACAATCGAATGGATGGCAAACATAACTTGTACATAAAATTTTTGCATTCAAGAAACGTTTTTACATTCATCACAAGTTGGTACATTGATCAAACAGAACTAGTAAGGCTTCGACATAGAATGGATGGCAACACCAACTAGTAAAATTATGATAACCAATAAAAATTTAATTTGAATTAATTCTGATATCACTGTGCCCGCATGTTTCAAGTGAAAGTCTGATGCTTTTGCGCTCCGAAAGCGATTGACATCTTCTTCTTCACAATTTGCTTCATCAATCCATCGAAAATAGCGACAATCATCTTCCGATCTATTCCGGGGACATCAATAGAACTTCTTGCCGCGATTATTAGCTTTATAGCAAGTATAGATTTGACATTGCATATTGCAACGACAATAGATTGGATTGTCTTGGCTTCTCATGGATTGTGTTGAGCGGCTTGAAATCATATTGCATATCCAAATTTACTCAAATCATACAAGCTAATACATAAAGGAATCATACAAATAAAAGTAACAGAAAAAAAAAATCCAGGTATACATGTCAGCATAGTTCATTTCAATTGATTTGATTAATTTCAGGAAATGAAATCAACTAAAGCATGTCAAGAAATCAACTGAAATAAATTAAATCAAACATCCTTTACTTCAATGTATAGCAGTTGGTAAAATAATCGATCTAAAGCATCTCAGAAAATCAAGCTAAAATGCTGCAAGACAATATAAAATTTTGCAAGAAACTAAAGCATATCAGAAATCGAACTAAACTAAAGCATCTCTGTAGAAGATTAAAGCAGGAAATTGAAGTTTAGGGCTTGAATAAATATTGGGCGACAGAACCAAGCTTGAACAAGTTCGGGCTTGAACAAAGATTCGGCGAAGAACCAAGCTTCAAGGAGTAATAACGAGCGAAAGAAGCTGTTCGAACACCAAAACAGCATAGCAAGATGGAGAAGAGCATACCTGTCGGAGCAGATTGACGAGCCGATCTAGCGAGAGGAAGAGGAGGTAAAGGCGTTTAGGGTTAATACACCAAAATGGCATAGCAAAATGAAGAACATCATACCTGTCGGAACCGATTGATGAGCCGATCGAGCGAGAGGAAGAGGAGGTAAAGGCGTTGTGAGAAGCTCGAGCGAGAGTAAGACGAGAAGACGGTTACGGTTTCTTTTGACGAGAGTGGAACGAAGTGGTAGTTTTGATGAGGGTTAGGGTTCTTAAGTGGTGTATATGTAAATAGGAAAGTTTAGGTGTTAGATATGTAAATAGACTTGTTTTAAGTGTTAGGCATGTAAAAATCCCTTCTTTTTTTCATCTATTAGGACTAATTTATAATTGGTAGAATGTATAGATCAAATAAAAATATGATATAAATTCAAAAATTATTCATTTTACAATTTTTTTTTACCAAAGAAATATTTACATATTCTTACCTGACATTAAATTGCTAGAGATTTGTATAATTAAACACATTTATATTATTAATATTATTTATTTTGATGTAATTGTTCAAAATAAAAGTTTATAAGTTGATGGTGAGACATGCAATACTTGATGGCACAAAATATTGGCCATTAAAAGAGAAGCATCAATTAAATTAAGTGTTTATATAAATGAGGATGCTCGGGTGGATGAGTGGCTTCACTCTTAGAGATTGAATGTAAAACAAGTTTAGATATGAAAAAAGTTGGAGTAGCTCCAGTGGCGAATAAGATTTGAGAGAGTCACCTAAAATAGTTTGGACAGATAAAAATATGTTGGCCTTTTAATGAACTTATTAGGAGAGTAAGTGTATTAGATTTGGGCAATAATAAAAATGGTAGAGGTAGAAATAAAAAGAATTGGTTATAAAAATATTAGAAATAAATTTTTTATCATATTTAAATGAGAATTTGTCTCTTAACAAGACACAATGGAGAAAAATAACTGATATAACTAACCCAATGTAGTGGGATAAAGACTTGAAGTTATTGTTGTTGAATATCCTAATGTACTTATACATCAAAGCAAATATTAAAAGATAATTTTCAAGCCTACAAAATATTTGAATTTTCTTTTATAAGGAATAAAGATTATATTATTATCTTATTATTCTTCTTTTTTTCATGTTGTTGTTGAGTTTAATATTTGTTGCGTCCTGTAGTATTCGCGGCGATAGAGAAATATATAGTTTATCGTATTAGTATTGTACGAAGATCCAACACACAATCAGATAAGAAAGAGGGTGTAGCATTCATAAGAGACACTAGAGTTTTACGTGGAAACCCCTGAAAATGGAGAGAGAAATCATGGGACCTGGCCCAATTTGAATGAATCCATTAGTTTTTTGCAGTCAATTAGAAATGAGGCCCTTCTTAAGGAGAAGGCCTTGGCTTGATGTCACAAGCGTACATCATATAGAGCACATTACATGGTGGGAGTTACATAGACATGTTTTTTTTAACGGCAGGACCATAGTCAATAGGACAGAGGTCGGAAAGATCATAGTTGGCAGAAGACTGGGGTCAGAAAGATCATTATCCGATGATGTAGGTCGTAATATGCAGAAGACTGAGGTTAGAAAGATCGTTGTAGTAGGGCGATATTTCGGGAGAACTCTAAGCATCAGGTAGTGGCTCGAAACAAGTTCGGGCCTTAGGTGATGGTCCAGCAGAAGTCTGGGCCTCAAGTGGTGGTCCGGCAGAAGTCCGGGCATCAAGTAGTGATTCGGCGAAAGTTCGGGCCTTAGGTGGTGGTCCGATGAAGCAACAACGTCAGGTGGTGGTCCGGCAGAGGTGAGGGCCTCAAGTGGTGGCCTGGTGGAGCTCAGGGCATCAGGTGGTGGTCCGGCGGAGCAATAACGTCAGGCGGTGGTCTGGCAGAGGTAAGGGCCTCAAGTGGTGGTCAGCGGAGCTTAGAGCCTCAGATGGTGGTCCGGCGGAGCAACGACGTCAGGTGGTGGTCCGGCGGTGGTGAGGGCCTTAAGTGGTGGTCTGATAGAGCTCAGGGTCTTAGGTGATGGTCTGGCGGAGCAACAATGTCAGGTGGTGGTCTGGTGGAGGTGAGGGCCTCAAGTGGTGGTTCGGCGAAGCTCAGGGCCTCAGGTGGTGGTTCGGCTAAGCAACGACGTCAGACGGTGGTCCGACGGAGGTGAGGGCCTCAAGTGGTGGTCCGGCGGAGCAACGACGTCAGGCGGTGGTCTGGCTGAGGTAAGGGCCTCAAGGGGTGGTCCGGCGGAAGTCCGACGGTGGTCGAGGAGGAGCTTCTTCCTTCTCTTCCTTCTCTTTCTTCTCTTCTTCCTTCTTCTCTTGTTGCTTGGATCCCCTTTTCAAAGGAAAGGAGGGGTCTATTTATAGATTTCTGGAGTAGCATGACCCATAAATAGGGAGAGATCAAGGGTAAATGGGGAGTGGTTGGATGGACGG